ATGCCTCAAAGTCATACGAAGTTGTTTTTAATTCAGCTTTACTATCTAAATTTCTAAAAGTAAGAAAACTCAAACTCTTGTATACGTTTTCGCTTTACAATTAATAATTATTTTGAGTTATCCGTAAATTGACGTCGCGTTTTTTTTTTATCTTTCCTTATCCCTATGTCGCACTTTGTATTTAAAAAAAGCCAGACCCGCCCCAACTTAGAAGGATCGTCTATAAGTCCCGCTTTTTAAAGCTTCTCCTGATCATCGCACATCGTCACAAAACATCATCCCTTCCCCCTTTTCGGAAAATGACATCAGCCTGCCTAACCCACCCACCCCCTTCACCCACCTCCACACCCTCCAGAATGTTGCGAATGTAAAACTATAATTTCCCTATCAAATATTAACTTAGCTCGGTCGAAATAGAGTGCGGGTCTATTTTATTACAATTTAAAACAAAATAGATTTTGATAATGCGATATAGCTACAGTTACAAACATTGTTTTTTAAATGCAAAAAAGTGTTGTGTCACACCTCGTAACACATTGTCATAAAATTTAGACCCCCCCCCCCCCCCACCCCCTTAACCTGTGAGTATGACGTCGATAATGAACGAGCTATTAATTTGTATTGAAACTTCTGGCGCTCCTTTGAATATGTTTCTCTGAGCTTACAATGGAATATATAACTATTGTCGAGATGGTCGTTTTTTTTTAAGTGTCTAAACATTGTGTTTAAACTGTGAAGTCATTTGTATTATGGTGTCAGTCAGTGATGTCGCTAGGTCGGGTGTCCACTTTTTTTTGTCTCTGTAAATTTAGCAGTTGGTGTCGATCCCCCCGCCCGGTAATAGCTATTTATAGTGTTCACATTTAATACTAATGATTTTTGTCCAAAGTCGGTTCAATAGAGCTGGGTGAAGAATTGTTTTCTCTGTAGTTTGCATGTTTACATCATAGTGTCGTCGCCCCCCCCCCCCCCCCCCCCCCTCCCCTTGTTGGGATTTTCCTTATGTACTCAAAATACTTTTTGACTCTAATTAATAATTCATTGAACTGTCAAAAACATATTTATTCTATATATCTTGCTATTTTTTTGCCTTGGTTTCACCCCTTAAATGGTGTCACACGGTGCGGTCAGACCCCCCCCCCCCCCCTCCGCACCCCTTCGCGACGCCTCTGGTGTCATTTGTTTCAAATGGACACCAAGTTTGTGATTTTATTGTGAAGTCATATGTGCATTTGTTTCAGTTGATCGAAATGGACCCCAAACTTGTGTTTTTACTGTGGTGTTTACTCTACATAGTGTCATCAGTTGATTGTAAGTAGCTTTACTATGAAAATATTACACGGAAATTCTTAATTATGCTAAACACGTGAACATAAATTATAATATTTAAAATTTTGACTTGTGTTTTTATTATCATTATTAAACCATTTTACAATTCATTTATCACTTATAAAAATACCTTGTATGGAAGCAAATGGAACTAAATAGATTCTAATAATAGAACCTGAGGGTCAATTAGATATGTGTAGTAGAGTTTAGATGAGAGAATTGTGTGGTCAGTTGTAAGTCCATGCGTCCCACTGTTGCGAGTCAGGTACCAATTGGAGCCTAGTGGATGTGCTAAAATCCTGAATACGAACTCGAGACATTTAGGGTAGCAGTCCTGCTCTCTACCACCCGAGCACGCTATCCTGTTTAATAAACTTATGATAAGGGAAAAACTAAAATCCTGTTTCTGTTTCCAACAAAAGCACTTGACGATAAAGCAACCACGCAGCGAGACCCAACACACATTGAAAAAGGCGAGGTGAGGTTCGAAGAGTCCCACACTTTTGAGCTGGTGAACTGGCAGGAAAGAATTAAGATCCTTCCAGTCAAATTTAAGAAAGAGTTCAACACTGTACCCTTGGTCATGGTGTCAATGGGTTTATTGGACTGCCCAGCTACTAATAACATACGAGTTCATATTTTTGAAAGGAACGTCACGACAACTGGTTTTGAAATCGGCTGTCGCACATGGGCTGATTCATATTTGTATGCGGTCAACGTTAACTGGATGGCCATCGAAGCTTAGATATGTGGTGACGTTGTGCTCGGCTAGAGCTTAGTGTAGGACAGTTCATCTACCTCCATAAACATCACGTCAGTTGATCAACCTACACAAACATCACGTCAGTTCATAAACCTACACAAACATCATGACAGTTCATCAACATTTACACATATCATGACAGTTCATCAACCTCCACAAACATCATGACAGTTCATAAGCCTACACAACATCACGTCAGTTGATCAACCTACACAAACATCACGTCAGTTCATCAACATCCACAAACATCATGACAGTTCATCAACATCCACAAACATCATGACAGTTCATCCACCTACACAAACATCATGACAGTTCATCCACCTACACAAACATCACGTCAGTTCATAAATCTACACAAACATCACATTAGTTAATAAACCTACACAAACATCACGTCATCAACATCCACAAACATCATGATAGTTCATCAACATTTACAAATATCACGAGTTGAGAAAAATAAAGATATTTTACTTCTTGGTGTGTTTTGTGGGGAGTTTTTACTGTTGCTGTTCAAGAAACAACTTTAAATTTTGTTTTTCTTTTATTTTTATTTTTTTTTTGTTGATGTTTAAAATTAAGAAAAAATAATATTGCGATAATAAACTAACTGATTTAACTTAATGATGAGAAACCGTTTATAAGCTAAAGGCAGCATTGGCACCTTTCTATTTTGGTGGCTGTTTTCCAATGGACCGGACTAAACCGGTGCTCAAGATAAAGATATTTAAAAAAGAAAAAACCTGAGTAAATCAATTCAATATGTCGGAATTCTCTAAAGAATTATTCAATAAAAGATAGACAGACACACAGACAGACGGACGGACAGACGAACAAACGGACAGGCGGACAGACAAACGGACGGACTGACAGACAGACCGACGGACAGACGGACGGAGAGCCCGCAAGTCAGACAGAAAGAAGAAAGACAGTAAGACAAAAAGGTAGAAAAACAGAAAGATAGAAAGATAGAAAGACAATATGACTGGCAGGCAGACAGGCAGGCAGACAGGCAGGCAGACAGGCATGGCAGGTAGGCAGGCAGGTAGAGAGACTCACACACAAGGTTCCAAATACCAGGTTTTCCGCGCTCCAGAGAAACCTGGATTTCTTTTTCAAAACATTTTGAACATTGCCCCGTTGATCTAAAGGGTGCTTTATAGTTCAAATAACCGACAAAATATTTCTTATATTTTTTGGAACAACTAATTTACCCTTTTAGCCTGAGAATAATATATATTTTTTATCCTTTCAGTAACTAGACAAACCTAACCTCATAACTTTTACCAAATACAATTCGGAAACAAAAAGCAAATTTAGTATTTCTCTGGTTTGCATAATTAATGAAACACAATTTATAAAATATCAAACCGTCTGTTCCCCGCCCTTCATAGCTTATAGGCTCGCAGCCAGCATCGACCGAATACCCACGTCATATTCTAATTAAGGCTTTGATGTTGGCAACATGTAAAACCTCTATTGTATGGCATGTTTTAATTTTAGCCCAGATGTTGCCAACAAATTGCTGCTCTTTGAATGGCATGACAGCTGCACATTTGCTTATATTTTTACAGAAACGTACCGTATTGAACGGAATTAGACATTCTAATACTTGTGTCACTTAAAACTGAAAGCCGGGGAACGTTAATCACAAATATAAAATATAACAGCTGTTTCTCTCATTGGTATGTGCGTAAAATATTCAGCCTAATAGACAGTCGGAGGCTTAGTTCGGTGGATGTCTACTCATGCACACAAAAAACAATATCAAACCAACACACTTTTAGTACTAATTTTGAGTTTTGTTTAAACTTAGTTCGTGTGACTCTTCTCATTATGCGGTCCCAAAGCCGGTTGAGGAATGGAAGCAGAGGTAGGCTATGGCTTATCAAGCCTTCCCTAATACCGGAACTTCAAAACAAATATTCTAATGAAAACTCAGTACAGGAAAAGGGAATGCTTCCATTCTATAGAATATAAAAAAGTAGGCACATTTAGGAGTTATAAAAAGGAAACCACCTTTCCGTAACCCACATGTCCTAAAAGGATTCCACCTGTCCTTATATGGAATTCACCTGTCCTTATTTGGAATCCACCTGTCCTTGTATGCAACGAACCTGTCCGTATATGGAACCCACATGTCTTTATATATAATACACCTGTCCTTATATGGAACTCACAGGTCCTTATATGAAACCCTAAAAGCATAATTGAAAACCGCCAACACAATAATACAAGAGTGACGCAAGTGGAGATAGATACCAAGAAGATGGGTTAAAACCTGGAAAGGCTAGAAATGAAGGCAAAGTTTTGAGATGGTTTAATTGGCCGGTTTACAAACAGAGGTAAACTAATTTGTACCCATCTAAATCAAAGGATGAATAGAACAAAAGCTCAGGATGTGGTATTTATTGTAAGATATATTTTTGGTTTTGTTCTGAGAAAAGTGTCCCGTCCAAGTTTTTCATTGCCTTATCCACAGCTTTGCTTTGGGCGACAGTGAACCCGTTTTTCCAATCTCCAACGTGTCCTAAAAAATAGAATATATAAAGGTTTTTTTTAAGGCAGCATGACAATACCCATTAAGTCATTTGTCCATTTAGGCAATTGTCATTTGTCCATTCAGGCAATTGTCCATTTTGGGCAGTTGTCGCATTCGGGAAAGTTTCCATTCGGGAAATTGGTTTTCTGATAAACAGCATTCGGGCAAGTGTCCATTCGGGAAATCGGTCTTCGGGCAAACGGCATTCGGACAAGTGTCTTTCGGGAATTTGTCGTGAACCGATTCACATGGTAATGCCGAGTTAAGACTGTACTACCGGTGTATACGAAATGCATTTAACTCCGCGTGTTGATATATTTGTAAAAGAGAGAAAACGAGTTACAATTTGGCAGATATTTTATGATTGGTGATTGTTACCTGAGGTCGGCCAATGATGTGGTTACAAATGACCCTGACCTTTTCTCATGAGTACTTTGGACAAGGATTGGCTCTGGTTGTAGGTCGCCTTCATGGCATCAAACCCTGCGGCCTCGGCGATCTCCGACAGAAGCTGGTCATCAAGGTCAAGGTCAAGAAACTCCAATATTCTTTTCATCACTGCGGGCAGGTTCTGAAAAAAAGTTTCATAAATAGAAAAAGTATTTCTAGTGTTGGTTTGTGGTGCTGTAGTCTTGTCGTCAAAGAATTATTCAAACCTCTTTCATGTCCTCATAAGACACCACCAATATGGGATGGTCTCGGCTGGATTTGATCACGTGGTCCCAATAAAGATAATAGTCGAAGTACGATCCGTAGTCGACTGTGGAGTAAAGCAAATAGAAACAAAAGTAACTTATATATATATATATATATACTTTACATATATATATATATATATATATATATATATATATATATATATATATATATATATATATGTAAAGTATTATGTGTCTACATAAAGGTTACCGGAAATCGTTGAAAAGTTGATACAGAACTACAAATTTGATATAATACTTGCATATGAAATGTCATCGACCTAGCTGTACCATCATGTTTACAGACAGACAGACACACACACACACAGACATACGGATAGAATTACAAAGCCTAGTTTTTCCGACTCGATTACGCATAGAACGCTGAAATTTTGATATATCTGCATTTATTATTTTTGCCCGATTAAAAGAAGTCCCCTATACTCCGTATATGACGAAGTACAAGTACTGAGGTATAAAACGATTAAAAATTGTCAAAAATTCATGTGATTTTTGTGCAAGGTTTTAATACTTCCTTTATACTATGTATACGAGAAAGTAAAAACCCATATTTAAAAAGTCAAAATGCTACAATCGAATTTTCGGACTGGAATACATTTAAGTAAAAGCATGTATATTCTACTTTCGATGCCCTAAAACTTACCTTGACCGTCTATATATAGGGGGAACCAACTCTGGAACCTTCCATCGTAGTGATAAAGCTGTGGCAGGGAGAGGTGGTGGTGGTAGTAGGAGACGGCCGTGTCTTTAGGGTTCCTGTAGGTCAGGACTAGCTTTGTTTTCTTCTCTGAGAGCTGCCAGCAAGTTAGGGGAAAACAACCGAGTCTGAAATTATCTTCCGTGTTATGTGTACAAGACGTCAAGGTATACTGTAAGACCTATTGGTTCACATATGCATGTCTAGGAATGTTTATAAAGTGACCATCAAGAAATTATTCAACTAGATAAGAAAAAAGATTATTAATTATTAGATTAGAATCTATTTTTAGAAGTATTTCAAATTTAATTTTAGTAGTTAATCCGTAGTGTTTTATGATTTAGTTTTTTGTTTGTTTTTTAACAATCTTACCTGTCTGAGCAGGTAGTCCCACACATCTTACCTGTCTGGTCAGGTAGTCCCACACATCTTACCTGTCTGGGCAGGTAGTCCCACACATCTTACCTGTCTGGGCAGGTAGTCCCACACATCTTACCTGTCTGGGCAGGTAGTCCCACACATCTTACCTGTCTGGGCAGGTAGTCCCACACATCTTACCTGTCTGAGCAGGTAGTCCCACACATCTTACCTGTCTGGGCAGGTAGTCCCACACATCTTACCTGTCTGGGCAGGTAGTCCCACACATCTTACCTGTCTGGGCAGGTAGTCCCACACATCTTACCTGTCTGGGCAGGTAGTCCCACACATCTTACCTGTCTGGGCAGGTAGTCCCATACATCTTACCTGTCTGGGCAGGTAGTCCCACACATCTTACCTGTCTGGGCAGGTAGTCCCACACATCTTACCTGTCTGGGCAGGTAGTTCCACACATCTTACCTGTCTGGGCAGGTAGTCCCACACATCTTACCTGTCTGGGCAGATAGTCCCACACATCTTACCTGTCTGGGCAGGTAGTCCCACACATCTTACCTGTCTGGGCAGGTAGTCCCACACATCTTACCTGTCTGGGCAGGTAGTCCCACACATCTTACCTGTCTGGGCAGGTAGTCCCACACATCTTACCTGTCTGGGCAGGTAGTCCCACACATCTTACCTGTCTGGGCAGGTAGTCCCACCACAGGTGTGAGTTCAACACCCTGGGGCTGGGCGTGTTTTCTAGAAGATTCATGGGCGAGGCTTCTAAAAACGCCGTGCCTTTACCAAGTTTTGACGGTACAGCACATTTTTTCACCATCATACTGAGGATTTCCCAGACCCAATGGCAGCCTACGGACAAACAGAAATCCAGATGTTTGTTTTTGTCAAAATGTAATTCACACCAGATCTTTTTGAACTTTTGTTTTGAACCATCATTACGTCTTTGAGTTTTCAGGTTTTAATTTTGAAAAATTGTAATTTTTAAAGTAAAGGCCATGGTTCACTCCGTGGGTTTTAAATATTCAGCGACAGTTTATTGTAATGAGAAAACTGATTATAATAATTGATTTTATTAGTTTTGACAAATAATATTCCAAAAACTACCTGTTTTGGGATAGCCAATCAGTATGACGTCATCGTCCCTCAGAGTCACTTCCCTTGCTGTTTGAATTCTGTTCTCGCGAAATGACGGGACAAGTTTTCCATCCAATGAAAACAGCCTGAGTTCACGGCCATCTGCGTCATATACGGAAATGTCTCGATTGACGAATTTCTGAACACATCAGAACAAAAGAGAATTAACAAATTAAAATTTTAGTGGAGTTGTCTATATCGGGGATGGTAGGACGTGGCCAAAGCGGTTAAAGCGCTAGGCTGTTAATTCGAAAGTCAAAGTTCGAATCCGGGTTAAAGTCAGCAGAACGTTCTTGAGTACCTCAGCTCTGATATAGCAGCGTTTCTTTCAGATCTCTTTCTCTTGGGTAGGGGGGGGGGGAGGGCTGGGGATGGGGGACACTTGAAACTTTCCTGAGCGGGAGGCGGACTAAATTTTATGGAAGGTGGGGTGGGGCGTTAAACGTGCTTCCGGTAAAGGGGCGGTGCAACCCCCTCCACCCCGAAAAGATGCCTGAAAGAAACATTGCAATGGAGTAGCAGACACTTTACAAAACCCACCAACGGTTAAAACAACGACAGACTCGATCTACTCCACGGAGGCGTAGCGACCCTTCCCGGCGCCCGGGGACAAACTTTTCGATTTGCACCCCCCCCCCTCGAGGTTTTTTTTTATTTGCACCCCCCCCTCAAACTTTCGATTTGCACCCCCCCCCTCGAGATTTTGATTTGCACACCCCCCCCCCCTCAAACTTTTCGATTTGCACCCCCCCCCCTCGAGATTTTGATTTGCACCCCCCCCCCTCAAACTTTCGATTTGCACCCCCTCAACCTTTCAATCTATTTTTCCAACCCATTTTGGCGCCCCCTAAGCTCGGCGCCCGGGGACATATGTCCCCCCCCCGCCCCCCCCCCCCCCCCCTCGCTACGCTACTGCTACTCCATGACCAGTCGTACGGTTTTCTTCCAGACATTTTTCACCGGGGGATTGGGGGAGCACTTAAAATTTTCGGGAGGGGGGGGGGGGGGCGGATACAGGTAAAAGTATGTATTTTCTATATAAATTATACTTCGCAATTTGCAATTTTCATTTCACTCAAAAGATAAATTTTCTTAAAAAAAATAAGCCGGAAGTGATCTCCCCTAAACTTTCTCGAATACTCTTATATAAAACTCTTATATAAAACAACAGGTTATGGCAACTCGAGATATAGACATGATTTTTAATCCATTTTAAATACTTAAAAGTGTTTAAAATGTAATAAAATCTCGTATAAAAAAGAATTGCACACCAATTGAAGGCCAAACAATTACTACTTCTGGTCAACACACACACACACATATATATATACACACACACAGACATACGGACATGATTGCAACACTGTGTCTTTCCGACTCAGGGAGGTGTAAAACGATTTTTTGTGCACGATTACAAGACTTTCTCTATACCTCGTATATACGAGAAAGTAAAACAAAAAAGGTCAAAACGGCATTTGTCATTGTATATAGTATGACTCTAAAGATCACATTGAAAAAAAAAATTGAAAAAGTCACGTATACTAAGAAAAGCATAGAACCTACACTTAATTTCATAGTATACAATAGAATACAAAACTCTGTAACTTACCAAAACATTTTCAGTCATACTGTAAATTTAGCCAGGTTTGGATCTTAAAAATTTAAAAATAAGCAACATAAGTATATAATGAGTGTATATATATATATATATATATATATATATATATATATAAATGTGACCTAGGCTAGTTGCATCTTTCCTGTTCGCAACGCCCAATGTGACCTTCCCCGAGTCTATCCTGCCCGACAACGCCAATTGTAACGAGTTGAACCACTCATGCTACACAACATCGACTACAGTAGAAAGACTCGAAGATGCAGGTTCGCTATTGATCCTTTTATTACATGAATCAAGAAATGCTTCAATATAACACAATGAATCAACAGAAATGTTTCACAATAATAGTCTGAATCAACTGACCCCCTAACAGTCCTCACTAGGCTTCATATAACTGAATCCACATGTCTATTGTCCTTCTTAACACAATATAACCAACTTGAGTATGTCACACAGACTGACTGATCTAAAGCCAGCGATCGAAAAGGGGAGAGAGAGCGAGTTCTGCCGTCCCCTCCTATTTATGCCTTGTATCCGTACTCGTCTCCGTACTTGTATTCCTCCGTAATCGATACTTGTACTCGATGTCTCCGACCACTAGTTGCGTAGTTCTAACATACAGTCCGTGGAATAACATCTGCATCCTATCAATCAAAGTTGACAGGCCTTCTGACTCTCTTCGTACCGTTTCCCAAAATAGCACGCGTTGGCTTTGAGATTGTTATCAGTCCGACTTCAATAAGCCACCTGTTATGTTGCGTCAGACTGCAACACTGCGTCTCGGCTTCTCGTTCGTTATCAGATTTGTAACTAGTGGCTAGGCCTACCCTAGTCACATCCACCCCTGCCTTTTTTTGTGTGTTTTCAACCACAAACAACGCCTGGCAGGTGCACTCCTCCAGAGTCAATCGCATAATCGTAAAAAAATTGTATTGTTCCACTCTTTGTCCACGACGTCCCATTCGTATACGATTGACAGTTATACCTATTTCACATCTCAACTGTGTCTACATCGTCTTCCTGAGACACAAAACAGTTCTAGAATTCACATCCACCCTTTTCGTTTGGTGACTTCACCAGTTCACCTTATAGCTTTTTGAACAGTCTGTTCTCATACCAGCGCGACCATGAAAGACTTGATGGTTGCTGACAAAAAATTTCGTCTTCCTTCTGTTCCTCAAACTTCTCCGCGGACCACTTATCTGATGGTCTACTGTCTCTCTGCTTCTGGAAGGAACGGGATCCTCTTTGTTGCCGTTATCCTCCACTTGTGTATCGCCGTTGTTCTGTTGATGGTGATATGGTTCCGGGATGGGTATGTGAATTTCCGTTATAGTTTCCGGTTCCCTAATTGTCTTGGATTTCCTTGTGTGTAACTGCTCTTCTTGCCTATTCCAATATTTCTTTAATTGAGCAATATTCGCCCACCGATCCGGTTTGGCGTGATCGATGGGTCTTATCTTAAAGGGGCCACCTGCTGCTTTAGGCATCTCCACGACTTGCCATATCTCCTGTCCCCAGAGATCGTGGATTTTGTTTCTGCCTAACGGGTGGCTACGCAGTAATACCCTGTCATTCAGTTTGAGTGGCGGGTCCTTTGTCTGTACCGGCGGTTCCCTTCGCCGTGCTTCATGTTCTAGTCTTTCCTGTACTACCCTGTACATTTCTCTAATTCTTCTCATGTGTTCATTCACATATTCCAGTGCGGTGTATGAGCCAGTCATACTCTCCCTTTTTCCTAGGAACAAATCAAGAGGGAGTCGAGCCTCCCGTCCGAACAGCAACATGTATGGCGCAAAGCCGGTTGTGGCATGGGGTGTGCAGTTGTATAGATATACCAACTCTGGGAGAAAATCAGGCCAACGTCTTTTCTGTTCAGGTTCTAGCGTACGCAGCAAATCATGCATGCTACGGTTGAACCGTTCACACTGTCCGTTTCCTTTCGGATTAAATGTGGTTGTTCTAGATTTGTTGATCCCGTAGTGGCTGCACAGTTGGTTAATTACTTCTGACTCGAAAGCCCTTCCTTGGTCAGAGTGTAATTGTCTTGGTATGCCATATTTGATCAACCAATGTTCTATTAAGACCTTTGCCACTGTTTTGGCAGTCTGATCTCGCGTGGGCACCGCCACCGTCCATTTGGTGAATACATCAGTCATTACCAACACATGTTCCGTCCCATCCGATGATTGCTCCAACGACGTAAAGTCCATAGCCACAATCTCTAGTGGTTTTGTCGCTAGTAGGTGTCCTGATGGCTGTCTCAATTTGACAACTGGCATTTTCGCATGCTGACACCTCACACAAGCCTCACAATGGCGTTTGACCTCCATTTCCATATTGGGCCAGTAACACCTTCGTCGTAATATTTTGTGCGTCCTGTCCTGACCCTGGTGTCCTGCCCTGTCATGTGCCAACCTTAGCACTTCTTCTCTTAACTGTCCAGGCACCACCACCTGGTGTATTGTCCCATCAATTTGGTCATGAATTCTCCGCATGAGAACACCATCCTCTATACTGAGACGGTCCCACTGACTCGGTATTTTCTTTGTTTCTCGACCAAATTGTTCTCTTTCCCTTCTTCCTGGGAATTTTTGTTCCTGGACGTATTTCAATAGCGGTTGTAAGCCACTATCCGTTCTCTGGGCATTTCTTATCTCTTTGTGATTAAGGCAACTAAAATCACTACTGTCCATATGTCCGGGTTCCGTGGATATGTGCTCCACCCCGGTCTGCCCGTTCTGCATCACTTGTACCCCATGAGGGATATCTGTTGACGCTCTGACCTCACATATTCCTGTCAGTGTTTCTTCCTCATCACCCGGTCTCTCGTAAGGATTCCTTGATAAGGCGTCCGCATTGCCATTGGACCGCCCCGGGCGATACTTTATCTCTAGGTCAAAGAGTGCCAATTCTGCTGCCCATCGCTGTTCGATGGATCCCAACTTTGCTGTCTTTAGGTGGCTCAAGGGGTTATTGTCAGTGTATACCACACATTTAGCACCTAATAGATAGTCCCTGAATTTCTCAGTCACAGCCCATTTTAATGTCAAAAGTTCTAGTTTCATGGCGCTGTAATTTGTCATGTTCTTCTCTGATTCCTTCAGAGCTCGACTGGCATACGCAATAACCCTGAAACCTTGCTTTTGTTGTTGTGATAGCACAGCTCCCAGACCTTTAGAGCTGGCGTCAATTTCTAGCCGAAATGGTTTGTCAAAGTCTGCGTATCCCAATATCGGCGCCTCTGTCAAAGCCTTTTTCAATAGCTTAAACGAGTTCAGGCATTCATCAGTCCATAATTCACCTATCAGTTGTGTTTTACCTTTCTTTTTCTCCTTACTGTGTTTCTTTGTCATTTTGTTTACCAAGTCATGCAATGGTGCGGCAATTTTTGCAAAACCAGGCACAAATTTTCTATAATAGGAGGCAAAACCCAAGAATGACCTGACCTCTACCGTAGTTGTTGGTTGTTTCCATTCTTTAACAGCTGCAATTTTATCTGGGTCAGTGGCGATGCCATGCGACGAAATCACGTAACCCAAAAAATGTACCGATTTCAGACCAAAGCAGCATTTGTCTGGGTTCAGCTTTACTCCTATCTCCCTAAGACGGAGAAACACTTGTTCTAATCTTTTTAGATGGTCCTCCCAAGTTTTTGAGTAAACTAGAATATCATCCAAATACACCAACATTATTTGAAATAGAAAGTCACTCATAGCACTCTGCATTACTCGCTGGAATGTAGCAGGTGCATTAGTTAGACCAAACGGCATACGGGTCCACTCGTACAGTCCCAGTGGAGAAATAAATGCAGTTTTATGTTGATCGTTGGGGTGCATGGCCACTTGGTGGTAGCCACTAGCCAAATCCAAGGTAGAAAAAAATCTTGCTCCCCCCAACGCATCAAGACATTCATCAATACGAGGCAAGGGGAATGCATCCCTTCTTGTGATATTGTTCAATTTCCGGTAATCACAACACAGTCTTATCTCCCCTGACTTCTTTTTTACCACTACTATCGGTGCCGCATACGGGCTCGTACTGGTTGTAATAATTCCCTTTTTTAGTAAGTCATTCAGGTGTGCTTTCACCGCCGAGTAGTGACTCGGTGGTAATCTTCGGTAGGGTTGCGCCACCGGCTTGTCTTGTAGTAAGGGTATCTGGTGTTTGATTACTTCCGTGTACCCCAAATCACCCTCATACGAGGCAAATATATCACTGTATTTATTCAGCAATTCATTTAGTTTTGGGTCCTCAGTTTCCGGGAATGTATATGATCGGCCATCCTCTTTCTTCACCTCGGCCGTCACATTGACCGACCAAATTGTTACTTCATTACTGCTGGTATTGCTCAGTTCGATGCACTGTGCCGACCTTTGTACCTCGACGTTCTGTGGTACTCCTACCAGAGTATTAGGTGGTATAAAAATTTCCTCATCCAAAACATTTGCCACTAATCCTTGAACTAGTCCATTTTCCGCTGATGTGTATGTCCGCAGTAACACGACGCCTGCCCTCAGTGCGGCGCCACATGGTTCTATCATCACATCACCATTCACGCTTCTATCACCAATTTGTAATTTGATTGCCTTGACCGTGTTTGCCGGGACTGCTGTCCTTCCTCTGGTCTTGGCAAACCTGGTCAACTTGGATCCCCGACCTGGTGTGGTCGATGCGACAATATTTGTAAGAAATTCTGGCAACTGGCCAAGAATATTCATGCCCAACAGGCAAGGTATATTTGACACATTTGTCTCTAGGTTGTGTTTCGTAACGAACACCCCAACCTGCTTCAACCTATGTCCTGCCACCACGACATCCGCCAGAAAATAACCACAGTATGGAATGGTTAGTCCATTAGCTGCCGTCAGGCGCATGCATGTGTCAGACCTCAACCTATGGTCTTTTCCTTTCATCCATTTGGTGTAAAAATTTTCCGTGATTGTCGTCACCTGGGAGCCTGTATCCACAATTGCCTTCACCGCGATGTCCCCAATCGTAATCACCAT